CCATTGATATTCATACCTTTTAGACCTATTTAAAGGTATATTGTACAAAAGATGTTAATTTACTATTGTTTAGGAAGTTAGTTGTTTTATTATTTTTGCTTTTTACTGTGTTCTTTTTTGTGAGGAAGGTCCAGTATTTCTGATTTTACAGGCAAAACTCCCTATTTTGTCTGTTAAATCCCAAGTTTGTGAAACTGAGGGATTACTCTATACTGTATATATTTTAATTCTCGTAATGGTTTTTAAACTTCTATTTTATAGGTGTCCTTCCATTTCTCTTTTCTAATGACATGACTCCACCTGAAGTGAAAATCAAGCATTCTTGTGGCCTCTAAACTGAAGACAATATACTGTACAGGTTGAGGTTAGCAACAGAGTAGCTAATGTGATTTCTTCCACACCGTACATACCATATAGCAAAAAGGGAAGACCTATGCAATTATATTTTCAGCAGGATATAACAGTTCCTGTAGGTGACACAGTGGTGCAGTTTCTGCCTTGTAGCGCTAGAGCCCCGCGTTCAATCTGAGACCTGGGATGCCAACTGTGTGGCGTTTGTATTGCAGAAAGATACAAGATGTGAAAAAAGGGTTAACTAATTCCTTTCTGCACAAAGACTTATTTTGGCACAAGAAATTCCATGCTTAAGCACTTATGAGTTATGGCAGGGGCAGGGGTTAGCTGATAAGAGATTCCGAGTTCGAGATAGAGACTCCCGAACCATGGGCAGAAGAGACCAGCCGTGCAGAGTGTTCAAGGTCTGGAGAATGTCCGAACACAGGTGACCTCCCCCCATCACCATAGTAACAATCTGCGTCAGAAACGGCTGACGTTGGCTATATAAACTGGAGCTTTTCAACACATTCTCTGAGCAATTCTTATTGTTCCTTGCTTGCAATAAACTCAGGTGTTTCAACTTCATCTCGGGATCCAGAACTTATTCGTCTGTTACAACAGTATGTTCTCCACATGTTCGCCTGGGTTTTCTTCAAGTGCTCTTGTTTCCTTCCCCCGGTCCAAAGACATACTGGTAGGTTAATGGGCCTTTGGGAAAATTGGTCCTGCTGCCAGTGGGTGTCTGTGTCTGTATACGCCCTGTGAGGGACTGGTGTCCCGTCCAGGGTGTATCCTGCCTTGTGCTCATTGATGGCCAAGATAGGCTCTGACTCCCCCTGTGACCCTGTATTGGATAATGCAGTTCCAAACCGGACAGATGGATGGATAATAGTTCCTTGTGTGTTTAACAAAACATGAATATAGACCACTTAGCCAGAGTTCAGCTGTTTACATTTTTAAATTTAATAAATCATCAAATATTATGAGATTTACATTTTTAACTCCTCATCACATTATTAAGATTTATTCTTGACTTTCTTCATTAGTGTTAAACTATTGTCTTTTACTGTAAATACCGAGTATATAATACAATACACCTATAAAATCTATATTAAATATTACTTGTAAATGCTGTACTGCAGTCCTACAATACTACAGGGAATATTGACTTTTAGTGAAGTATTATCTTTGAATGCAAGACCTGGTCATGCATTCACAGTACAGTAGCTATTCACTAGTATAACCCCAGCAAGCTGCATTTTTTTTTTTAAACAATAGCATTTTTGCTCAGGTAATTGAACAAATTGCTTCTGAAAAATTTCCACAGCACCTTGATGTCAGCACTTATGTCATCATGGACTTATGTCCCTTTCCTTTTATCATACTGTTAGAAGCCATTAACAGAACCTGCTGCTCTTTAGTTTTTATTGCTGCTTTATTCTTGCCATAATTGAAGATGGCGATGCAAAACTTTTTTTTTCCCCAGCCGAGACAGCAGTGACATTAAAATCAAGCATCCCTCATGTGTGAAATGTCAAGGGAGTAAAATTAATTGAAAGGACCACTGTAGGCCGTGTGCAAGCCATCAGTGCTCTGTACTTCATTTTGATGAAGCTCTTTTATTACAGCACACACATCTGTCTCTCTTGCTGGCAAAACAGATGAATGCTGTGACAGAAAAGGAAGTCAGAATTTATGGCCACGTCCACGATTCGCTAACACTACACTCATCTCTTCAGTTCTTGGGCTCCCAGGATCCTAGATCCTGTTGCGCCTTTCAGAATCCACGAAGGAAACACTGGTTATCTTTCCATTCGCGCCTCTCCATCTTTTCTGTTCTGCGGCCTTCGTGAATACAGCAGATGACCAACGCGTTAAGGCCCCGACACCGAGATTGAAATGCCAGACTCCGTGTTTCCACGGCGACAGCCAACAGCCGCCAAGAGCTTCTGTACCACAGTCATCCCTGAAATACTCAAGCAGCGGTTGAGATGCAGGGAAAGGTGGAAGAAGGGGAAAAAAACACTGAAACGTGACTTCTACCGTCAAACAGTGTATGGGAAGAAAACACAAAGTAAGCAGAGCTTCAGATGGGACATTGTTCTGAATGAAAACTTATTTTTTTTATACCTTTATGACAATTTGAACCAGCCTGTTTTTTCACCACACAAAGGCCATTATTTGTGTTAATTTTTTAAAATGCTAAAAGACTTACAATAAAATCAGCTTGTCAGCTATCTGTCCCCAGTGGATCGCTCTCAAGAATAATCTCTAGCTGGAGTCTCTAAGGAAACCCTCTTCTCTGAAACACTTTGCTGTGCTGAAATCCCTAACGCTCACAACCCAAACAGACAGATTTTTATCATGCGATCACTTGAAATTTCATTATCTTAATAAGGCGATAGGTCACTTAGTTTGATTCCAGACAACACAGGACGAGCTGAATAACTAAAATGTAAAAGGTATGAAAAGCCAGACTGTTCTGTACTATTAATTGCACTTGTATATAAGAAACAGAATTAAAAATAGCCATTGTGTTTCTAATAATTCTAATGAATAAATGCGTTTGGTATGATATCTATAATGTCCACTACAGGACAGGGTTTGGTTTTAAATAGAAACCATTTCTCTAGTCCATTTCCTGAGTTTGTAAAGGAGTTATAGACCTGGCTTATGCGATTAAAGGTATTCAGTCATTTCTAGTCTATGTGTCTATATGTAAGGCATTGTTAAAATGGCTACAT